AAAAAAAAAAAAAAAAAAACTATAGGCAATTATTTAGGCCATTACATTATTGCGCTATGTACCTCAGGCTGCCTTTGCCGATGAGGGGGCGGTGTGGATTCCGGCCCTTTCGGCCATCGGGGCCGGCTTCGCAATTGGCTTGGCCGTCCCTCGTTCGGATTTCAGGCTTTCGGTACTATAGAAGCCTAAAAGATTACCAATACTATTCCTGAGGTTGCTCATTATATAAGTATGCAATAAAGGAGCCCCAAACCCTATTGGGCCTATGACCCTAAATGCCTGTAAATCCTAGGGTTTAATTTAGGGTTAACTAAACCAAACTCTAGGATCTCAAGGTATTGGGCCTATGACACTATTCCTATCATAAAGGCCCCTAGATCAGATTATGCTGCTTTGATCGGCTTTTACAGGGTTTCGGGTTCCGGGCTGTAGGACTCATGGTCTCCCTGGTTCTTAGTAGGGATCCTCATGATGGTCCCTTCGGCCTCCTTCAAGTAGTCCCTACATGGAGGTTCATGGGTAGCTGTAAGTGGGGGTTATATGTAGGGCAACAAAAAGTATAACCCCCATTCAGGGACTTATGACCCTATGTCAAACTACCCATGAACCTTCAAGTAGAACCCATTCCCGAAACCCTAAGCCCTTTAAGTCGTCCTAAACCCTAAACCCTAAACCCTTTAAGCAGTCCCTAGAACCCATTCCCCCACTCCCTTCCAAGAACCAGGTAAGTAGTCCTAAACCCTAAACCCTAAACCCTTTAAGCAGTCCCTAGAGCCCATTCCCCCACACCCTTCCTAAGAACCAGGGAGTCTGAAGGTTCAGGTTCTGGGCGCAGGATGGAGGTCTTGGGTTCAGGGTACGTACGGCTGATTATCTAAGTCTTGTTTAGGGCTTTTAGGGTTTAGGGTTTAGGGTTTAGGATCCTGCATTACCTTAAGGACCCTAAAGTATGGGAATTGTGGTATATTCCTTATTATGGGTAATGCAGGGTTTATATCGTCAACCGTAGGGCTTAGGTCGTGATGTTTAGTATTGAATTGCATCACGATGTTTAAATACTATTACCAAGAAAGGATATTTGGAGTGGTGTTCGCTTAATGCTCGCCTTGCAACCGATGTTCTCATAAAGCGTCCTATCATGTCATAATGCTTGGTATTAAAACCCGGTTGTCGCGAACATACTGCTCACTGGCAATTGCAATTCTACACCGAGCCATTTCCGACTACGCACATTTTGTAGTTAGTACTCAGTCAGCGATAACGGAACTAGCTGCACTTAAGCTTCATGTGTCAAGCATACATCGCTAGTTGTCTTTGTTGAATAAGATGTGCATAGTTGAATAGTTGTTCGGCAGTAGCTGAAGTTTGAAGTGTGGGCGAAGGTCTGTTCAGCACCCAATGTAACATAGTCTTCAGGCTGTGTCACTGTTGCAAATTAGTAACTTGATGAGAATTGGCACTGTTGCTTGATACCTATCAGATGTTTGAGTCATGCAGCTATATCTAATGCATCCTCTAACTGTGGTGTTGGCACAGGACTTAACCTATAGATCATAGCTATGTGTTTCAGGTAGTCTGCCTGAAATTAGGAACTGGTCATTAATATTTGATCACAAGTACATGCCAATGCAACTGGCTGAGTTTTCGCCGGTGTTGAGTGAAAACTGATTTAAATCTGCACGCACGATTCTGCTGATAGCTGACCAAGTGTTTGTTTGTACTCTTATTAAGTACTACCAGGCGGAGATTCCCTGGTGGACAATAGGGGGAAGAGTGCGTATATGTGTATACGTATGTGTATGTGTATGTGTATACATACATATATATATATATACATAGAAACTTAGATAGATAATTAGACAGAAAGAGAGGCAGACAGACGGATAGAGCATGCACATTTCCGAGTTGGCCCCGAGGCCATCGGTTCGGGAGTGGGTCAGGGAATCGCATCCGGACGATGCATCGACGGCATCTCCCGGCAGCCGGAGGTTCGGGCTTTGGGGTTCTTTAGGGTTTAGGGTTTAGGGTTTAGGGTTTAGGGTTTAGGGTAATTACAGCCTTTAGGGCTTCGGGGTTAGGGTTTAGGGCACAGCGTTTAGGGTTTAGGGTCTAGGGTACAGCGTTTAGGGTTTCGGGGGTACGGATAAACCGTAACCCATAACCCTTAAATTACCTTATAAACCCGATGAGCCGCGTAAGCCCTAAACCCCTAAGCCTTAAACCGTAAACCTTGGGTGATTGGCTTTACTGAACAGCTTCCACCCAGACCTTGCACAATCCATTAATTCAGAGATATACATTCAAGATGTTACTGTAAGTTATCGTAGGACTCCTAGTATTACGAAAGGTATACCTACAGAAGACCTTTTTTGAGGAACTACATTTATAAACACCATAATTAGGAGCCCTCAACGGTATGTTCTTTCGGCTACAGGTATTTCTCAATTGAGTGATGTTTTAAGGTCTGGGCGAAGGCTTCACCAAAATGCAGCGATTTGGGTTTAAGGTTCACGGGTTCGGGGTTCAGGGTTTGAGGGTTTAGGGTTTAGGGTTTGGGGTGTGGCTTCAGTCAATCCGCTTCTTCTGGCTTCAACCCGCAAGACTTTGGTTCGCTGCGACTCGAAGAGAAGTGGAGTCAGTGTTGCTCCATGAGTTGATGTGGCCAAAATGCTAGAAAGAGTTGGCTTAAGTGGTTCGGCGGTATGGCACGAAGCTGTTTGAGCATGGGGTTGGATGACAAGATTAGACCCTGCGCCGTAAAGACCTTGAGCCCTGAAGCCTTAAGCTTAAAGCTTGAGTCTTCAGCCTTACATTTACACCCTGAATTCCAAGCCCTAAACACTCCACAATCGGCGCTTGACCTCTGATACCATAAGCCCTAAACCCTCATCCCTAAACCCTAAACCCTAATCTCTAAACCCTAATCCCTAAACCCTAAACCCTAATCCCTAAACCCAAACCCCTAATCCCTAAACCCTAAACCCTAATGGCTTTTGTCCGAAGTTCTCGGCTCTATCTCGCCCCCCGGTATGATAAGCGATGACATACCATTCACGGATACCCTGAGCCGCAATCCTTCAACGAAAGATAACTTCAAACAGTACTTTAACCCCAACTAACGTAATTTTCGAGGGGATCTATATAAGGAAACATAGTAAGGAGGCCTGAAAATCATTGTCTATAGGGTCCAGGTATGCCATACAATGAGAGAACCCTTGCAAAACCCGCGGACATTGGAAGGTGGCCGATGATCTCCGAGGTGTGCTTCTGCTGTCCCTGGCCTTCATGGCCGCTTGTCACTCTTACTTGGGGGGTGGGATGAATTGTGTAATCATGTTTGGCATACGACAAAGCCTTCCCGAAAACCTAAACCTGGACGCTAAACAAAGGGTTTGGGTTCTTCCAGTCCGGAGTCTTGGATTAAATGTTTGGGCCCGGGTTTAGGTTTTTAGAATTTGGGCTAGTTGCTTCGGCTTAGATTCGGCTTTAGGGTTTAAGGTTTTGCGATGTACGAATTCACGGTCTCGGCCGTCGAAATGCAATGATTGCGTTTTGTCTTACGGAAGAGTTCCAGTCAAGGGTCCTATGAGAGAACACAATATATCAAAGTGAACATAATCGATGGCCTTGATTCGGATTCATGCGTACACGTCCGTTCATCTGCTGCCTCTGGTGTATCGCTATGGGTACATGGTCTGGGTTTAAGGAAGCACTCTCCAGGGAAGTTTGGTGGGAACAGCACGGAAGCATCTCAAAACTGCCGGACAAGCAATGAGAGGGCTTTAACCGTCAGTTTATCGAATACGTTTATAGGGGCCAAAACGGGAGACTGGCTGAAATCACTTGTCTCTGCTGCGCCTCTCCCTCTGAGCCCTACGCCCTGAAACATTCCAGGAATGCAAGAGCTCAAATGAGACATTCTTGACCCAGGGCCTTGTATCTGGGAGTTGCATCGGCTCAGTTCTCTATGCCAAACTGTCACGCTCTGGGGCTTGCACTGAGTACTACTGATTTGGGCACAATTCTGCAAGGTTGAGTTTTTTGATTCCTAGAGTATGGGGGTTGGGGCCAAAATACTGTAGGGGCCTTCATAACTACCTATACTATTTTTGGGGGTTCCTTTTTATAATTATAGTATAATGGGCCCCAAAACCCTATATTAATTATTAAGGCCCCTATATTACTTGCAATTCGAAAAGATCGGCATCTTGGGTTTTTGAAGCAGCAGCTTCAGAGCAGTACTGATAGTTAGGGTTACTCTACTTAGAGGATCGTGGGACTTAGGAAGTAGGGTTATAACTAAGGTAACTATACTTATAACCCTGATTAAAGGACTTATGACCATATTTACTAAGTCCCATGATCCTCCAAGTAGTTGGGGGCAGGGGAGTATTGGCCCTCTCTGAAGCCCCCAGTAAGCCTTAGTATAAGTCCCTTACGAAGCCTGTGGCAGGTCCGCAATCGGTTTAGGGTTCAGGGTTTAGGGTTTAGGGTTTTGTCACAAGCCCCTCAATGCTAAAGCAGCCCTCGCGCCAGGAGTCTCTGACGATCTACGGCTTGGTCATCGCCCTGGTTTTGCTGTTCGCAAACCCGCTCATCAAGTGAGGGGCTTCGAAGCCCTTATCCTCCGCGCGGGAGAACTTTTCCGTCTGGCAAGAACAAAAGCGCCGCGTTTGGGATTTGAGCTTTACGGTGTGGAGTTTGGGGTCATGCCTTAGTTAGTTAAAGGCCATCTGTAAGTGGTGGCTGCAATGACGAGAACAGTTTGTAGAGGTCAGTGAAGTACTGGAATGAACAGCAAACACGCACCGTTCCTACGAGAGTCAGTGCGTTTAGAATGGAAATAGAACCCATGTCCGAAGTTACTGCCATTATGGAAGCAGGCCCCCCCCCCCACAAAAAAAAAAAAAAATCCACTCATATTTGTTTCAGGGGATGTCATTCCATACTAGTAGTGTATGTAGATCCTCTTCATAACAGACCCTAAACCGAAACCGTCAGAAGCCCCAACAGATGCCCTAAGAGGCAACCCATTTGAGGTCAAATTTAGGTATGGCTCAGTATGGCAGGTGCTTGGAGGCTTCGGTTGCTGAGTGTGTGGCTCTGGGTTGCGGGTTTGGGATTATTTCAGTGTTCAGGTTTTACGGTTTAGTGTTTTGCATATTTATGGTTTAAGCTCATCTCAGGGTTTTTGTAGGGACCCAGCAAAAATGTAGGTTTTGGTAGTTCAAGGTATAAAATCCTAGCGCCCTTGCGTGGACTCTAACTCCTAGCTGATGAGTGTTGGTTTTGACCGGTGCGTATGTACATTTTTTAGGGCTTGGAGTTTAGAGTTTAGGGTACCCAAAGAACCCACTGCTTTAATAGTTAGTGCACTTCCATCAGGAAATCGTATGAAGGAACCCTAAAACAAAGTAGGTCTTTTAGGGTCCGGGTAGAAGTAGATGACCGAGCATCCCCGAGACGGATCCTACTTGGAGGATCATGGGACTTAGTAAGGAAGGTTACAAGTCCTCTTATTAGGGTTATAAGCATAGTTACCTTAGTTCTACCCTAGTTGCTAAGTCCCATGATCCTTTAAGTAGGGTTCCCTAAACCCTAAACCCTAAACCCTAAACCCTAAACCCTAAACCCTAAACCCTAAACCCTACTTGCTAAGTCCCATGATCCTTTAAGTAGAAAGCGGAAAGCCGGGACCCAAGTTCGGGCCCTCAGTCGCCTGGTTCTTAAAAACCGAAACCTCCAAAAGGGAGCCCGAGTTGTGAGGCACGCTGATAAATGGTTTAGGGTTGAGGGTTTAGGGTTTAGGGTTTAGGGTTTAGGGTTTAGGGTTTAGGGTTTAGGGTTTAGGGTTAAGTAATTTAGGGTTTAGGGTTTAAGGTTGAGGCCTTAATAATTAGACATAATAGGATTTTGAGGTAGATTATGCTATAATTATTATAAGGAACATACCAAACCCTATTCTAATTATTAAAGCCCCTACATCATGCTTAAGCAACGGGATCATCAGCGACATTCAGGGGACTAAACAGTTAGGTTTTGGGGCTTACTCAGTTTCCAGTACTCTAGACCCTAAACCCTAAACCTTAGCACCTAAACCCAAGCCACTGAACCACTAAACGCCGAAGCCCTAAAGCATCGGCATTGAGAGGCGGCCCTTCGACCCTTCAGGCACCTCGGAGGCGGGTAGCGGCAGTGGAGTTAGGGTGTTTGGGGCTTAGGGTTATTTGGGTCATTTAGTGTTTAGGGTTTGAGGGGTGTGGGCAATACCTACAGAGAAACCCCTTCAAGCCTTGTAGAAGCCAGAACCCCGAAAGCCAACACATCCTCACAACCGAAGATTATCAACCCTGGGCCCCTTCCGAAATAACCCCCCCCCCCCTCCCAAGCCCCTCCTCTAAGTGCACTGGGTTTGGGGGTTTTGGGTGCCCCAATACAACCCTTAGGTGTGAGCATATTACCGTCATAACAGGAGCTCCTGACAAAAGGCGAAGGTAAAGGGCCCTGTCCACTTTCCTTCAAAGCACCCGACCAATACTATTGCTCCTTCGGGTTCCTTCTTAGATGTTTAGTACCTCAAGACCCTATTCCTAGACCCTAAACCCTAAACCCTAAACCGGTTTGGGTTTAGGGTTTAGGGTTTAGGGTTTAGTCTAACTTCTTTATCATGAAGGCCCCCCCCGTCTCCCGTCTCACCCACCTCTTACAGGATCTTGGAGATGGCCCGGAACCGCTCTTGTTGTAAAAATGGCCCCTGGAGCCACAGCTGATACATTCCAGCCTGGGTTTGGGGCTGAGGGTCTTCGAATTTTCAAGGTTTTCGATGGTTTTCGGATGCTTCAGGGTTTACTTGGAGGTTCATGGGCAGTTATCAGTAGGGTGAAAAGTCCCCGAGTAGTTTACTTGGAGGTTCATGGGTAGTTGTAAGTGGGGTTATAAGTAGGGTAATTACGATTCTACCCCATACTCGGGGGCTTATAACCCTACTGATAACTGCCCATGAACCTCCAAGTATTGTGTAAGATGCTAATTCAGGTTGCACGATGCAAAGATGTTTGTTGCTGTGACGTGCGGTGCGGTGTTTAGAGATGCAGCAGGGTTTAGGGGTTCGGGGTTTAGGGCTTTGCCCCAAACTCCAAACTCTACGCGGTATTGGGTAGCTTGGAATGGCTGGTCTCGACAAGCTATTTCGCTTCTGACTTTCTTGTTTGGCGGGTTCGGTGTTGTGGAAAAGGCCGGACGTATTAGATGGACTTCATAGTATTGCATTCAAGATGGTGTAGTATAGGCATGGTTATCCTAAACGGAACTTCTCGATATATCTGCTTCTTTGTGACCCACGTGTTGTAACGAAACTCCGGAAATCTTTCAGCTCAAGTAGGGTTTTACAATGTCACGAGAGAGTGAGGCTGCAGTGACGTGGTAGGTTTGGGCTCTACGGGGCTTCGGCTATCCGATCGTCATTGCAACGAAAATGTGTCTGGTTACATATATGCTTCTTTTTTTGCAAGATGAAAGAAGTCTTGTTGCGAAGACCCTCACTCCGACGGTGGCTCGCAGTCTGCTTCAGGTTGCGACACAATCTTGTGCGAGGGTGCATTAGTTTGGCAGCTGCAATGAGCTATGCCCCATTGAAACATGTTTCCCTGGTTTCGCGGTATGTTGACATCCACACGTACGCACGCAAGCTCCGCCGATGTCGCGACTATACAAACTGTTTTCTATTGAGAAAGGCACTGGGGGTCACTTGCTGTGTAGTTCAGGTGTTCTGGCCCAGTGCGTCCAAGTATCAGAATAGCAGAGGCCCTTACGTTCGAAATACTATAGTCTGAACAGCTTCTGGCACTTGTTAAAACCTTGATGTGCGCATGCGTTGACCCTTGCACAACTTGTTAGTATGTAGTGCTTGGAGGCGCGTTCAAGACAAGGGCACCTAACGCCTTATGGAGCTTAGGATTTTGGATCGGGTCCGGTTTTGCATTCTTCGAAAAGTTCTTGTATTCCGCACTGGACGCGTTAGTTGAGAAGGAGGGCTTTCCTATAAAGGCCGGGCCGCGAAGCGACAAATAATCGCTTGTTCAAAGCAGTTGGGAGCGGTTTATTCGTTGTGTGGTGTTCTTCCATCAACAGGTATTTGGTGTGCGTTCCCTGCCCCATACCATACCTGCAGTAATCTTCTCTCACCGAAGCAAGCGAAGCCAAATGCCGAAGAACATGCGCTTCACTCTGTGACCAGCTGGTCGTGCTATTCCAGAAGAACCCCGCTCGAAACCACAATAAAGTGATATAGACATAGAAGAGCTATAATTAACCTTGTTCAATGGAGATGGGCCAAATTTAGACATGTTTGCGGGAGGCACAGGTGCCAAGCGATGGCAGATGAATGGAAAGGCGGCTGTCCGAGACATCTCACATCCTGGTTATTACCCGGAACTTTGAGATCCTATATATCGATATCCGTAAATCCTCAGCTCTATAGTTTATAGATCATGCTGACCTGCAAGACTTCACCCTGCACCTGGGCAGTCTTACATTTGCCGTGCTCTAGGTTTGGAACGCGATACCCAAATTGAGGCTGTCAGGCCTTGGTAGTAGAGAATTTAGATAAGTAGATAGATAGTATGTAATCAAAGGTATGGTTATACAAAGTGTTTCAGGGTTTGCAAGGGTCCAAACTACGAGTGAATCGATACATTCGAGTGTTAGCGACTGTAGGACCAGAATTGCTTAGAGATTAATGTAGGGGTCGGAAACGCAGTGTCCCTATATAGGTCCCTTATAGTTATGTTTGTGGTAGAGTACATTATGCGCCAGAACCCGGTTGTTGAATCCCATACAATTTTCTGGTATTGAACCTGGCGCTGCGTTCGATGTCCACATATTTTACAGCAGAATACCTTGAGCTTTGAATCTTCGGGATTTAAAAAGCTCTGCGGTCCGACACCTTGAAGCCAGCTCTGGTGTTCCAATCGTTTGTTTTCATGCAATCACTCAGCTTTCGGATTGGTTGAGTTGTGATTGACAACCGGTAACCGGTCTAATCGTTGCCAATCTTTCATCTCAACGTTATTCAGACGCTCTGTCTTTGACTTTGTTGCTGTCCACGGCGGCAAAGAATTTAGGAAATACCTCGACCGCAAACACGTAAGGTGCTCCGGGCATGCAAAATTAGATTTTTCAGTTTACTGTCGAGTTTGGCTTGGTATCGTACGCCACGGCGCATCCAGACTTCCCCGGCGATCCGAACGGGAGCTGCATAAGATGCAGTTTGTGTTGCTACAGCAGCGAAGGTTCGGGGTTTAGGCTTGGCTTTTGTGCACCATGTCACGCTTCGTGTGCATTTGTCAGTGCCGCAGTTGGCAGGTGACAAGTACTGTAAGAAGCAAATGCTCGGTGGCACGTGTTATCTGGTTCCACATCCCAAGAATGACAGGATACCAGAATGGCTGTACACCCTAAGCCCTAAGCCTTAGCCGCAAGAAGTGCAATAAACACCACGGGTTTCGCAAGCAGCTTCTCTTCAGATCATTGTACACGTAGTATTCATGAGGTGTATAAGGTTTAACGTTGAAGGCGTAATGCCCGGTTATTTCTGTGCTAGCACT